CGTATATATATATATATATATAGTATTTGAGTCAGGTGGGCCCCAAATACCGCTTCTCCTTTGCGCTCGAGCACCTATGATAGGGTGCGTGTGTCATGTGCCTGATATTCCAGAGCCTCCGTGCCACGGTGGGATCGAACCTTTGACCTGAGGGGACTTAACACTTATATATATATATATATATATATATATATATATATAATCTTATGGGTGGACTAAGAATGTCTCATTATTTAAATGCAGATTATGCAATCAATAGGCTTTCTGGGACCAGCATTTTTTCTTACGCAGCTCAGTTATGTTAATACTCCACTCTTAGCTGTGTTGTGCATGGCCTGCAGTCAGGTATGTCAAACACGTGATCCAGTATGCTCATTCTTTCTTGATGGTTTTTCACAAATAAGATTCTGATCTCTTTCACCCCCTTCTCTGTTTTCTTGAGTCAATTATTTATGCTATATTATTTGGGTAAATGCCAAAATAGTCCCCCGACTATTTACATGGAGTCGTTTTGCTGACAAAGTCTATAAAAATGTCAATTTAGTCCCTAAACTCTTTTAATAGGGGCTAAGATTCTTTGGAGACTAAATTTGACATTTTTATAGACACTAGGACTAAAATAGCCCCCAATAAAGGGTTGGGCATTTTGACACTTTTCCCTTTTCTATTGCCATTCAAATTAGTCAGATAGTTATCTAAGAATATGGTGGAACGAACCTTTCTATATCTGGGAGTGGAATATTATTATTATTATTATTATTTATATCAAGTTTTTAATTTTTTGATATTGTTGTTTTTTCAACGGACGGACTGAATGCTATTTCACATCTTTTATTAATGATATTTTGGGCACAAGGCTACAAATGATCCTTAGAATTCCTCAAAGGGAGCTGATAAGCATATTACCTGAACCAGAGCTAAAATTCGTGACATCTATTATTTTAACTGCCGTGAATTGCTTACTTTTCTACTTTTGAAAATCTTGTTTCACTAAAAAAAATGATCTCTATTTCATTTCTTATTTTGCAGGGTAGCGATGCATTTTCACAGTCAGGTTTATATTCTAATCACCAAGACATTGGGCCACGCTATTCGGTATAAAATCATCTGTCTTTTATAGCCATAGCATATTTTTGCTATTATGAATTTGCTTGTAAGTTCATTATGTTTTTTGTAACCATTCACTTGATCTTAGAGATTTGTTAAGACGAAAATCACATTTAACTTTTCGTGTAAGCATAAACCTATGGGTGTATATAATGAATTACAAAGTAATTTTAAAAAAAAATCAAGACTAAACAGAGACTAATAATTATATGGTCCAGCTTATTAATTTTACATCTATGGCTCCTCGGATCGATGGTGATTCCACTAGATTAGAGAAAAATTACAGTACAACAGGAGCTCTCAATTATCTTCTCCCACTTTTTTATCTCTATTTTTTTTATTCCTATTAGGCTGTTAGCTCCACTTAATATAATAAACTTAAAATAGTGAAGCTCGCTCTGAAAATGTCTCAAAAGGAATTGAAGGGAGCTTCATGCAATGCAACTACTAGTTTCATCATGATGATGAATGAAGGGGTTTAAATCATCTGTTTAACGACTAATTTTCGATCTTCATGCAAAGATCGCTGTGATTAGGGTCTACAGTGAGAAGCTTTCAAAGATTTTTGTGTTGATCAAAATTGACAAGTGACCTGTTGTGATATTTTCTGTGGCTGAAAAGAGTCACGCCTTGTTGCTTTCGGCTTATAAAGTAGTTGCTTCCTAACTTTGAACTTGAGATCGACAAAATTATCATGGAAATTTATGAATATTTTCATTGTCCAACATCCTTTCATCACTTGCCCAAGAATCCTAATTATTTGAAACTTTGTATCACAAGGAGATCAACATTTGAGATTATGGTCTGTTAGTCTTATTAGTGTTGATGGACGAACGACTCGAGAAGGGGTAAAAACATTGATAAATCAGTACAACTAGAATGCCGACTGCCAACATCACTTGCTGAGTGGTCAGTGTGGTTGTTCTTGGTGGCTTCCCCATGCTGCCTCCTTTCAAAATCAACAATCTTTCGTTGCAATTAGAGGATTTGCTTTGCATATCTTTCACAGTAAGCTCTTAAACAACTCATTGAGTGTTTCTTCTTGCCAACATATCATCTCTTACTTCCCGTTAAAATTTTAGGTTGTGATTAGATTTAGGGCTAGGTGGAGGATGGAGGGATAATTTTGAATTTAAGTATTATGTTAGGTTATGTAGATTTTAGTTTTAGAAGAAGGGAAGATAAATCTCTAAAGAATTTGGGTTTGTCAGGCTCTGATGCGAAATGATACCATTCTAGATTTCTGAGAATGTGTTTTAAGGATCAACTTTGGCAGTGCGATGTAGTGGAATTGCAATGGGAAATAATATGAAAAATTAGTTGAGTTTAGAGGGGGATCGAAGAGGTTTGATGGTTAGTCGGTCCGAAAATAACAGGTAGAGCTTTGGGATGATGACTTCAACGAGGTACATTTGCTGTGGAGATCCACCACCTATTCTTGAAGAAGCTACAAACTCACTACTAGCAATAAGAAAATGATACAATGCTCATTATGATAGAAAATTAAAGAACATAATCTTCAAAAAACATAAACACCCAAAAATTGGACTTACCGTAAGTAGTCTTGAGTAAAAGTTAGCCCCGCTTCAATTTAAAATAGACATACGAAAGGGGCATTCAAGGGCTAGTCCCGTTTAATAACGAAAAATTCTCGCAATAGACTCCTGAGACTGGAGTTCGATCCCCATGTCCCGTTCCCAACCTTGTGTATGAGGGATCCCATGTGGTATCATGCATGGTGCTATAAGTTCAATTTGAGTTTTTTCATCATATGGGAATGATGTATTAGTCTCATCTATCAGTTTAGGATTAAGTCTACACTCTTGGTCTGCGAGGCTTTCCTGGATGAAGTAATTCATGATTGTTTAAAAGGATACTTTAGTTATTTTTTTACTACAAGAGCTAAGGGCATTTGTTGTAACCCATAACAATTGAATCATGTGATTTTGACTAGCGCTGCGTGGGCTCTGAAAATCGGAAAAACCCCAACCTCCCCCGAAAAAGAAAGAATAGATGAGAAATGCGGATAATGGAAGTTTATCTTGAGGTTTCTGGTCAAATATTTGAAAGGCATATGAGATAGTAGATAAGACACTAACAAGAGATTTTGTCCTCATTTTGCGAGGACTTTATGATATGGGGTTCGAGATTTTCCATAGGCGCAAACCTCTATTATTAATTGCCCCTCCCAATAACGAGAAACCACTTTTAATTAAGGCTAGTCATTAGGAAGTTGATTGCTCAACATATAACATTAACTAATTTTAGTTTTAAAAATACGAAATCATCACTATGAGCTTAAGAGTGGATGTTGGTGGAAATGATGATGCACCCGATCGAGATCCCATGATTTCGTGATCCTGGGTCGTCATGGTTCGCGGTCTACTTATTAATAAGAGGTGGTCAATCTATCATGAAAAATTTTTTTTGTTAGCAACCATGAGTTGTTTTGTCTAAGAGAAGCTTGTAGACTCGGGGTTCATATTTGTATAAGGGGACTGATCTAAGTCGGCCTTAACTTACAGAGAGCTTTATACCTTATCAGGTATACCCTATGCTTCACAACTCAAAGAGGATTCGATACCTGAACATGAATAGGTTCGTTTGAACTGTCTTAAGATCCGGACGCACGCACAGTTTATTTTATGATTAGTCATTTAAGGAGAGTTTGAGCATGATTGAGGTGAACAGCTGAGAGCGACTCGTTATCACACTCGAGAATTATCATATTCATAGAGCGAAGCAAATATATAGGTCAACAGACTGTCGTATCTTTTGGTAGGTCCTCCCTTTTACATTCTTTTCGTATCTTTGAGCGCATCATTCTTCGATTCCTAGAGTTTCTCACACCTTCATCCTTATAGAGCCCTATATGATCTATTTTGATTTTTACGAGTCTTAATCCATTTGAATCTTAAGCAACCAATGAATACAAACATTGATTTCTTAATTGAAGCTATTGAAGCGAAGACTAAAAAGTTGCAAGCTTTATGATAGATATTGGAACAAAGAGTTAAAATCATTTACGAAAATCATCATTTCATCATGATCTTAGACATTTTCCTTTATATGGTGAAGTTTCATCATCACTCTATTCATGTTTTTGGAAGTAGTTGTTCTATCATTTTCACCATTGCTAATTAATTTCTTCTCTGTGCTGAATTCTCTGCTGCATCTCTGTTAAGATGGAAACCGTCTGTTTATTGCCCTTTTTAATGCATGATGAAAATTGCAGGGCGTCCTACTGGGATTGTCAAACACAGCCGGGGTGCTTGCCGGCGTCTTTGGCACTGCTGTAACTGGTTACATTCTTCAACATGGCAAGTTTTCATCACCACCATGACGCCAAAAATGTTGTGGCATTGTAATACATAACACACAATTCTTATTTGTTTACATATCTAACGCCCAAATTTTCGTACTCATACACATAGCTCTCGAGTTTTTAATACCACATTAAAAGTTGTACTATACACCTTTTCATGCTAAGGCAAAAACCTCCAAAATGCTCTGTATATAAATGTGAAAGTTTAGGTGTGAGATATGTAAATGCATATGAATTGTGTGCTACATATGTAAAATTAAAATTCCAGAAAATGTTTTATTGGCTCTTAAGATTTTCGGTCTATTTTTACTCAATGATTTTCTTTCTCCTCTTGGTCAACTTTAACTAAAAATTTTTGAAACTAAACAGGTTCATGGGATGATGTCTTTAAGGTAGCCGTTGGCTTATATATTGTGGGCACAGTGGTCTGGAACTTATTTTCGACCGGTGAGAAGGTAATTGATTAACAAGAAAAGAAGCAACGCTGTTTCCAATCCATTCTGGAGTGAGACATATCGTTATGAAAATAAATTATCAAGAAAGATTATATCATGATGTAGCTGAGTTGCAACAAGGGACAAAATCATATTTTGAGCAAAAAATGCAGCACAACTCAATGTTGTATAGCTTTGGGACTGCACGAGATCTTATGCATTATTGCCGGTGTATTAAATCCAATGTTGGAGAACATAAGGTAGTATTCTGAAATCATTCTCTCCTTCTGATTCTGAGAATTATATTCTCTATTTCCTAGCAAATTTAATGAAGGAGTTGTATAAGACCACAGGTAGCTCAGCACTGCCTAAACTTTGTGAGGAAATGTCGCAAAATCTGATTCATGCTTCAGTTCATCACATTTAAATTGATCTCTGTATGGGATACTGATGAACTTATTATTTTGCTCTACAAATAATTTAATTTCACCTATTATAAATGCTTATAGTTCTACAACTCTGCAAGTTATGGTTCCCTCTTTTTCTAGTCTATTGAAATCATTCGATCTTTCTGCAAGCAATGTAGAACTACGATTTTATATGCTACTGATGTTTCTATGTTACTTTTTAAAGTTTGAGTTTTGGAACCTACTTTTTTTCTAACTCTCAAAACATGTTAACCAGATTTAATCACGAGTTGATTAAAATGATGAAAATAAAGAAATATATGGCTAATATACACAAAATGAAGGCATTTTCAATTTGTATGGAGGGAGCAAAGAAAGGAGGCTTGGTGGAGAGTTTGGATCAGTTGCATATGATTGTTATATGTAGAATGAAAATACAAATTGAATTATTTGAGATGGTAAACATAATAGTGAAAAGAAATGTGCTAAATTGAGAATTATATTAATTAAAGTTTGCTTTCATTTTGGTTATAGAAAGATTCACTAGAGAGGATGGGGTAGAAGCATCATTGGTTGTAAACTCAACAAATAATGAAGATAATGATCTTTAGACTTCCATTCCTTATGGAATCATGTTGCTTGTGGTGATGTTGATATTCATTTCAATGTAACTTATCATATAGCAGATCTATTCACTAAACCATCATTAATGATCATTTTTGCCATCTTAGAAAGAAATTGGGCTTACTTAATTGTGCTTTGTAGTTCATAGGTTGTGTTGATTTTATGATTTAATTCTCCTTATAGGCTTTGTTATGAAATTTTTTGGTTGATGATAGAAGGGGGAGTAGGATAAAGACTTGGTATGTAATGGATATTTTCTTAATGACTATTGCATCACATGAAATGTAAAAAAATGAGGTTTTTGCATATGCTTATTATATTCATTTGCTTATTGATATTAACCGTTTTAAGTTATTAATTATTAAGGGCTTGTTTGCAATCAATTTTATTTTTTTTATTTTTGATTTTGCTTTTATTTTAAAAACATATTTTCTCAGTGTAATTTTTTATGTTTTTTTATTGGTTTTAAAAAATAATTTAAACATATTTTTAAAAATACTAACTAATATATAAAAGTTGTTTTGAGGAATTTTAAAAATAACTAAATATGTTCAAACTCATCAAACCTGTTTCATTTTAAGTGAAGACATAAAACAAAATAAAATTTGTTCCCAACAGAAAAATATTTTTGCTCTTTGAAAATATCATTATTTGTCTAAATGATTGTTTCATTATACACTACCTAGCCTTTAAAGTTTCCACTTGGCCAACTTCAATTTTGTCTTGAGTCTACTGTTTCTTAAGGGATTTATGCTGTACACCTGGAGTGATGTGGATAGGAGGGTGATGACATGTGTGCCTACTTAAAATTATCACTAATGGCCCCCAAAACTTTAGGGAAATATTTAGGTGTCTTATCTTAACTTGCATAGAAGTCCCATTTCATTTTATAAATACCATTATATTTATACTTAGAGGTATATTTTCCCCATCTTCGAGCAATCCTCAGAAAACTATTTAGCAGGGAAGTAGCTTTTCTTCTGTTGAAGAAACTATTGAGAGATCAACTTTTGTCATCTTTTCTTTATCTTGATTTTCTGTTATTGGTTGAATTTGATATTTAATTTTGTTGGACCAAATTTGTCTCTGAATCATACTGAAGCGGTCGAGCGTAGGAGTGAAAAGAGAGAAAAAGTAGAGAGAAATGTGGGTTCTAGGAATTAAGTATGTTATGATATTAAATTTCATCAACTAACTCCTATTATATTTATTTCTTCTCTATTTATAGGAAATTGGAATAATCATGAAATGACAAATATGCTCTTGGCATATGGTTGGTCAGTTAGTATCCTTCAGTCGGCATTTGGCTGATTCTGCCACTTGATTTTGAGCGTTGGTCGGGCTTGAGTGTCGTTCGGCCTTTGCGTGATATGCTCTTGAGTTGATTGGTCATCCGAGTTGATCGTTTTTTGAGCTTACTTCTGTTAGGTGGCTTATGGGCTTGATTGATCATCTTTTCAATCTTTTTGACACGTGTCTGACCTAGAATCGTCTAATATGGTCAGACATTTTTTTCTTGTACAACCTTGAGTATTTTTAATAGGAATATTCTGACCTTTTCTTTGTCTAAAATAATCTCTAGCTGACCATGCCTACTATTTCTCAGGACTAGTGTGTCAAGCATAATTTAAACTTAGGCTCTTAACAGCTACTTCTAAAATCCATATTAGCTAAACTAATTATATTCGCCCACATATTATGAACTTCAAATATTATCTGTACAAATTTCTTTCATGCTTTCAACCTTCAAAAGACTATTTATTTTATGTACACACATATACTCCCTTGATTTGGACCTCTAATAATCAATTCTCTAAATTGCACATATCATCACCCACCTCATTCCATCATTCTCTCATTATCAAAGTAGGATTAGACTAATTAAACACCATGCTTATCTCTTAATGAAATATTTGATTTTTTTCTTCTTTACAATATCATAATCAAAGTTACTGTTATTGCAGCAAAAAAAATTAAAATAATAATAATAATTAAAAAAAAAAAAACATTAGAACAGTGGAATTAAGGACTATTGTTTGTCTCCATCAATTGCTGTGCGTTGCCCTGCTGCATTCCCAGATTCAACCTCTCTTGCTCCAGCTCATGCATAATTAGCACTAAAAAATTGATTAGTGAAAGTAATTAAGCGCTAATCATACTTTTGGTTTATTTTAAGAGAAGCCGAACCTCGCCACGAGGCTTTGATTCTGCATATAAGAGCAAAACATTAGCGATGGAATAAGTCTGTAATTAATTAATTATTTATTTATTCACACGCCATGAGGACCAGTTCTAGCCTGTGGCCAGTATCTTTGATATTTTCCTTTTTTTTTTTGTTGGGCCATTTACATACATACCACCCAATTTTTATGCATTTATATATCTAATGGTTACTTTTTTATGTGTAGTGAGACATGTGAATACATACGAATTCTGTGGTATGCATGTAATATATATATTATGCGTCACTTAGATCAATTGATCGAGCATCTGCTTGTCAGTTGTAAGTCTCCTCTGGTCTGATGTTCGATTCTCCCTGTTGGAGGGTGTGTTACTTGAATTTTTAGGTGCATCGGGGATGGTCGAGGCTCGTATAATAGCCTCATGCAATTCCTTAATTTTAATATATATATATATACCCAGCTCATGTCAGCCTTTTATCTGATTAAAAATATAGGGATTAAACGCTGACTGGAATCCCAATCTGTTACATGTTATTGATTTTTTAAAGGGGCAATTGCTTAAAGATCACCCTAAATTTGCTATTTACAAATCAACCACTATTTCATCCATATTAGAAAACTTCACGAAAAAAATTCTTGGTAAAGTCCTAACTCATATTTTTCATTTTTATCAAACTCTCAAAAGTTTGATTGTTCAAAATATTAGGTGTTTAATTTTTAAATATCAACCTTTTAGGTGATGTGCATGTATGTATTTCTTAACTTAGGGTCTGTTTGGAGCAGCTGCAACTTATTGAATAATCTGCTGATAAGCTAGATGTGGTGATTATTACAAATTTTTATTTATTTGGAAAAGTTAGACCGCAGTCAGAAAGCAGCCACCACACATAGATAGACGCGGTGTGAAAATGTTGTTTTCAGCGTTTTGAAAATGAATAAGCTGTCGAAATGCAGTTCGCCCAAACAAGGCAAGTGCGTTTTCAAAACGCCACCACAACAAATAAGCTGCCCCAAACGAAAAAAGTATTTCATACAGACAATCTCTACCGTCTATCACAACAATTTTTTTTTTTAAAAAAAAAATCAAAATAGGGCCCGACGTCATATATCTTTGCAGTGATGGACGGTGGAGATCGGACACCCGTATAAAATAATTTTTCCCCAAACAGGCCCTTAGTTTAGCAATGTTTAGGACTCTCAATATTACGTGTAGGAAAACCGTTAATACTTATGCTAATAATTATAAAATGAAAATATTAAACTATATATAATAAAATAAAAAAGGATAAATTATGAAATAATTATATCAAATGAAAATCTAGCAACTTATTTATTACAAAAATAACCTTTAACATCATCTGAAAATATCTCTAAAAAAATAAAAAATAAATCTGTATATAAAAATAAACCTCATGATGCAAGAAAATAATATTTTCTAATTTAGTGGCGGTCCACGTGGATTGACATAATTAGGCAAACAATTCTATTAAAGAGTTAATCAACAGCTGAAATCAAAAAATCAACAGCTGAAAGCTGAGAAGCGGAGCACCGCCTCCGGCGCCGGCGAACATGCTTCTAATTCCTCTCCTCATCACCGCCGGAATCTTCTTCGGCATTGCTCTGACGATGCTGAGCCTTTTCTACCTCCTCCGCAGAGTCCGTCCTTCCGTCCATCAATCTCCGCCGCCGCGGCCGCCAGAGTCCACCGCCGACGATCCGAACAGCGTTCTCAATTCAATTCCGGTGATCTGTCATATTAAAAACGAAGGGATTTTCGAGTGTCCGGTGTGTCTTTTATCGGTTGAGGAAGGCGAGAAAGTTCGGTTCTTGCCGGACTGCGGCCACGGCTTTCACGCAAGTTGTATCGACGAGTGGCTCTGCTCGCGGCTCACCTGCCCTTTTTGCCGATCGCCGGTGATATCTTCGGCGAAGTCTTCAGACACCATGTCTGACGCAGTGTCGTCTAATTTGGCTGGTTTGAGGACTCTGCTGAGGATAAAACTGGCTTATTGGCGTAATATGGCTCGGGGGCCGTCAGCGAGGGATGGGGATAGATCCAACGGCGGAGGTGAGTCGGGGCATGAGAGGGAGGAAAGCTCTTCGGTGTGAGACTGATGAATGTTCCATTAAAGATTCAGTTTTTTAAAATTATAGCTGAATCTGTAATATATTACTTGGAAAGCTGTAGAAGAAGAAGGGTGCCAGGTTTGTTCACTCAATCCCTGTATGGAAGACAACTTAGAAATTACTGTAATGATCTTAAGTTTAATTTTTGTTTATACTGCAAGAAATTCTCGGTTTTGCAGGCTTTTGGGTTAAAATAAAATGATTTGATTTGAATTGGTTATGTTGTGTGCTAGTAAATTCATGGCGTTGGTGATGTAATTGGAAACTGTTAGTGTTGTATGAAGATCCGTCACACTTTGGCAAAAATAACTCGATAGAGAAGTGGCACAAGTTTTTTTTGTGAAAAACTTAAGAAGATAAAAATGAGGGCTTGACTCAGTTGAAATGGTTTCATTATGCCCATGTAGATTATGAAATTTTACCGGCTCTTGAATAGCCAAAAGCGTTGTTACATGTGTGGTATGTGACTTTAGTTGCAAAAGTGATAGAAAATAGATGGTAGAGGTCTAGTGTCAAAAAAAGGCTGATTTTAGCGTCTGTCATAGCAGAGATGATGGAAGTGGTAGAGAAGTAGATTTTTGTGGTAGTTTGGCAGCGACGACGGTGGTTCAGATCAATACCGGTGGAGGCTGGGGTAGTGATGTTCCTGTGGTGGTTCGATAGCAGCGACGGTGGTTCGTTGGTGGCGGAGGTCAAATGATGGTGGTTGTGCAACGTTGGTTCGACGATGGGGGTACAGTGGTTCGGTGGAGCCGAAGATGGTCCGGAGGTGGCGACGGCACGACAGTGGTGGAGCTCATGAAAAGTCACGAGCTTAGAATTTCTTCAACGTTTTCTTCCAGGACCAAGTCCATCCCACATTTCATGAAAAGAACAGGGGATTATTTATAGATTTTGTGAGAACATCTTCTATAAATACTGTATGAAATCGGGCAATTCAATCGAATGACTTAGGGTGATCCATTTGATCAGATGATATTTTACAAGCATGAAGGTGAATGATTTTGGAATTAAGCGATCTTAGGCTCTTTAGATTTGACTTGTGTAGACATCTGATTATAAACTTTGAAGATTTGGGGATCATGTGGTCCCTCAAAATATATTTCAAAGCTTCCAATTATGCTTTAAGTGCATGCTCTAGGGCCACTTGGATTCGGGTTAGATCATTTTTTGTGTCATATGGTTCGTCTTTCTGATGCCAAATTGGAGTGCAGACATTTCCCAAATTAAATTTTGATAATAAATCAATACAAATTTTTTTTTGAAACTAATCAGGCTTAAAAAATGCCATTTTTATTCTTAGTACTGCTATCAAAGTTTATAATTTTTTATTTATAAATAAATTAAATTTGACAAAGATTTGTTTTTTAAAATGCATCTTTCAATAGTAAAATACTATGATTTTTTATATATAATTTGCAGAAAAATATCATAACAAATTGGTAAATATTAATGATAAGATTATTCTATGAATATTAAGACATAGTATTTTAAATAACCACAAAATATCTGTCTGAAATATAATCAGCTAAATTAAAAAAGATAGAAAAGCAGTAAAAGCCAATTAATGACGTACTGAAAAATATGTGGTTCATCACAACAAAATATTGAAGTAGTGAGTGTTGGATGACAAATGGTAGTATTTAATTGCTTTTTTTGCTTGCTGCTAAATATAAGGTACGAATTTTTTAATTAATCAAATTTACTAGAATACAATAGGGATGAGAGAGTACAATATGATGCTGTGGCATTTTTGCTATTGCTATAAAGGGTTTTGTGCTGAAATATTATTCATAGTTTATATAAATGAGATTGTTGCACGGCTAGTTTTTAACATGGCTAACCGTCCGTAGTCTTCTTCCGGTCGTAGGATTAGCTCGGTCGATACAAGTCGGCGGGTTGATCCTAGGTCCTTAGTGAGGAGCCTTTGGGTGTCCCTGAGATCGTTGGAGATGCTGGAGAACGAGATCTTCCTTAGATTGGCTCTCCTGTGATAGTTGGGTTGGATACCGCTGTCTCTATTGGTTTGCTCGGATAGCTTCACTCGGTCGAATAAGTAGATTTCATGATTTTCTGTTAGCGAGTCGTCATCCGTGGTGCTAAATGACCGATTGTGGATTACTCACAGAGAAATGGATCCGTAGAAGGAGACTTGCATCTTAAATCCCACCATCAACCCTCAGACTATCTTTTTGCCAGAAGTTGCTTGTCATTTTCATCCATTATAATGCCATCCCTACCCATATGATGCCTAACTCCATAGTGGCTATCATGAACTTCATCGCCTTTTGCCACCGGTCGAAGCTCTCATGGCCTGTTCAGCTTTTCAGCTTTTTATTTTCATCCCGGAGTGACCCATATGGGTTTGTGTGAAAAATAAGGTGAAGAATTGTAAGCCACATTTCTATGTGGGCTCTTCCCCTCGACATCCAAACAACTCTTTTTGGCTAAGAACCAAAATAAATAAGAAAGTGCCGATGAGAGTGTTGGTGGAACAAAATGATGTCGAACGGCGTCAACTATCAGTCCATCAATTTCTTGATATGGATACTGTCAATGGGACGTTTCAAGCGAACGCTTTCGGTCAAATGACCAAGCAAAACCGAAAAACCTTTGATGCTCTCGAGGCTTGGAAGGTGGCTGCTCGGCGGCTGCTCGGCGGCCAAGAAGAAGACCTCTTTGACTACTTGCACTGAAATTGCTTACCTTGAAACAACTTATTAATATACATTGTCATGTATATATTTATGACCCTGAAGTGTTATAAATATAAATATCACAGTGTATGTATTATATATGTAAATCCATAAGAATTGTGTGGTATGTATGAATATAATATACACATAGCTATAATGAATAAAAAGACAATGTTTATTGTAATCGTATTGAGTATATTTTCAGGATAACTAATCCTTGACAATGAAATATTCTTTTGGAGATGTGACTTAATTGTTATTCATGTCACCTATCTTTTTTTACATTGTTTGTTCTCATTGAGTATATATATCTCACTCCATTGACTTACATTATACATTAAGCCTAAGACCATTGACAAAGTTAAATAACTCTATATTTTCTATTATTTTTCAATTGTTGCTTCATGAATCATGTCATAATAATCATATTTACTAGATTTCCCTTAGGGTTTAGTCATTGAAATTGTCTCATCTAATTTATTACTCTTGTCTATCCAAAATTTTCTTGGGAAATTTAGATATTCATATCGCATAATTCATGGCATTTACATGATTTACACCTAAATTTGATATTTACATTGATATCATTTTGGTGTCATATGCTTTTGCATGGAAGGTGTGTAGCATTATTAAAAAATTAGTAGCAGTGATATTTTTTATGTGATGTTAAATATTTGATTGCTATATATGTAAATGTAAAAGTTCAGTTGTTATATATGTAAATATATCACAATTATGTGGTATACATGTAAATACCCCCATTTTATTATATATATATATATATTAAAAGGTATGATCGGAGGCTATGATATGAGCCCTTGTCATCCCTTATGCGCCTATAGTTCGAGTTGCATACTCTAAACTCAGGGGGAACCCCACACCAGAGGGGACTTATAACTAACAAGTAGATGCCTGACTAAGGGGACTTATAACTGACAAACAGATGCCCGATCAACTGATCTGAGTAACAAAAGAGTGGAGTCAGTTAAAATAATTCACCTTCAAACGCTTAGAGGTGAGTTTGATCTCGTATTCATGGAGAAATCTAAAATAATTTAAGAATATTTCGTTGGAGTGTCGACTATTGTCAATCAAATAAAAAAGAAATGGTGAAGATGTGAGTGAAGTACAAGTTATAAAGAAATTATCCCTCTCTTAGTCTATAATTTGAGTATATTTTTACTAACATTGGAGAAATTAAAGATTTAGAAATAAGGATTGTGGAGCAATTATTGGGTTCTTTGCAAGCGTATGAAGAAAAATAGAAGAGAAAGAAAATGTTACAATGAGTAATGGTGCAATTTCTTCAACTCAATTTAAAAAAAGAAAGCTTTGACAATGAAAGATGCCAAAGAGGAAGAGGACATGGCTGAGGATGAACTCATGGACAAGGAAGAGAAGGGAGAAGTCCGTGTAATATTTCCACTACCTTCAATAATGAATGTAGAAATGAAAATAAACGAACATCAAGAGGTCATGGAAGAATAAATTCATGGTCAAGATATGATAAATCACAAATTAAATATTATAGTTGTAAAAAATTTGTCTATTTTGTTGTTGAATGTATATGTCCAAAAAAGGTGGAGGAAAAAGCCAACCTTATGGAATAAAATAGTAAAGAAGATATTATATTGTTAGCATTCAAGGATAAAGATAAAGACCAAACAAATATGTGGTATTTTGACATTGGTGCAAGCAATTGCAGGTGCAAGAAAGACGCATTTTCGTGGAGCTTGATGAAGCAATAATAGTAAATGCCTCATTTGAAGTTGAATAAAAAATATTGGTAGAAGGTAAGGGTAAAATCCTAATACACTTAAAGAATGTAGGCCATCAATTCATCTCAAATGTTTACTGTGTGCCTATTATGAAGAATAATATTTTAAGTTTGGTCAATTATTAAATAAAGAATATTATATTAACTTAACAAAAAATATTGTTTTATTAAGAGACATAAAAAAATTGATTGCCAAAGTACGTATGTTAAAAAATAGAATGTTTCTTCTTGACATTTAGTGTGATAGTGCAAAATGTTTAAAAGTTTGCTATAGTGATTCATCATGGCTATGACATTTATAAGATGAACATATCAAATTTGGTAATCTTGAATTTCTATCAAAGAAGTAGATGGTGAGAGGCTTACATTCCATCAATCAACTAGATCAATATCGCAAGGGATGTTCACTTGGAGTTAACTTCAAGAGCAACAAAACCACTTGAGTTAAGACATAGATGTTTGTGGCCCTATTAAATCAATGTCCTTTGATGAGTGTAAATAAATATTTATTTATTTATTGATCATTTTTATAGGAATATATGAGTTCATTTTCTGAAAGAGAAATTAGAGGTGTTTGAAAATTTTTAAAAAGTTTAAAGCTTTTGTTGAGAAGGAAAGTGGCATTAACATCAAGACTAATAGATCTGATCATGGAGGAGAGTTCACTCCCAATAAATTTCAAAGTTATTTTGAAGATCATTCAATTCGTCGTCCTTTAACAATGCCAAGATCCCCCTAATAGATGGAGTAGCTTAGGGAAGAAAATAGAAAATTCTCAACATAGCTCGAAGCATACTCAAACGTAAGGAATACCCAAAGAGTTTTGGGCAGAGGTGATCGATTTTGCAATTTACCTAAGAAATCGCACTCCTTCAGGAAGTGTACATGAAAAGATCCCTCAAGAAGAATGGAGTGGAAGGAAACCAAAAATCTTTCATCTTAAAGTCTTTGGAAGTATCACATACGTTCAAATTCTAGATGAAAAGAACAAAACTTGATGTTAAATGTGAAAAGTATGCGTTCAATGGCTATGGCTCAAGTTTTAATAGTTACAAACTCTATAATCAAATTAGTGGTGAAACTATCATTAGTTGTAATCAGCAGTTTAATAAAAAAGATAATTGGGATTGCAGAACACAAGAAGATGAATCTACTTTTCTTCCTTTCTTTAAAGAAGAAGAAGAAAATGAATAATTAATAATCAAAGAGATTGTAAAAGAAGAATCACATGAGCCCATCACTATATTAATTTAAACAAAAACATTTGAATGATCAACATCAACAACATTTTTAAGTGAAAATTCAAAACGAGAATACTCGATATTTTTGAAGTTTACAAGATATTTATGAGGTAAACAATAGTCAAGGACAATATATATATATATATATATATATATATATATATTTGTATTTTTGGAGAATGGAACCTTTAGACTATCAAGAAGTAGTAGAAAGTAAGAATTGATAGATGCTTTGGATGGAAAACTATAGCAATAACGAAGAATGATAAGTGAGAGGTGACTACATTTTCACAAGGTCACTTGGGCAATTGAAGTTAAATGGGTGTATAAAGCTAAGAAGAATGCTAAATAAGATATAGAGAAATACAAAGAAAGACTGGTGGCTAAATGATACAATAAAAAATATGACATTGATTAAGATGAGATAGTTGCTCACATCACTTGATTTGAAGTTAGATTAATAAAATTCTTTGGGAGCCCAACATGGATGGAAGATCCATCTATTGGATGTGAGGTTTGTTTTCTTAAATGGAGCTCTTGAGAAAAAGTTTATATTGAAGAAACTTTGGGATATGATCATATGAAGTAAAATGATAAGAAGAGAAAGTCATAAAATTGAAGAAAGTTTTATATGGTTTAAAGCAAGCACCAAGAACCTGGAATACTTGAGTTGGCCAGTATTACAAAGCAAAAAATCTCATTAAATGTTAATATGAGCATGCACTTTATATTAAAGTTAAGAAAATATTTTAATGTTGTTCTTCTATGTGAATGACTTGATTTTCACAGGTAATAATAATTTTTTTTTTGAGAAATTCAAGAAAGAAATAGCCACGGAATAACTTTAATATAAAGTGCTTGCAAGAAGATATAAACATATTTATCACTTGAGACGGTTATGCTGCATAAATAATTAAAAAATTTTAAAATGAATAACTGTAATCTTGTTGGAAAACCATTGGAATATGAAGTAAAATTATCCAAAAAAGATGAAGAAGAAAAGATGGATCTAATTCTTTATAAAAGTCTCGTAGGAAGTCTACGTTACTTAACTTGTACAAGACCAGGTATTACTTATGCAGCCAAAGTAATCAGTCGCTACATGGTAGCTCCAATGATAACTCATTTCATAATTGCTAATAAAATACTTCAATACATTAAATGTATAATCAACTATAATTTATTTTATTCTTTTTCTAATAAATTTAAAATTATTGGATATAATGATAGCAACTGTGGTGGAGATCTCGATCGTAGAAAGAATACCACCATACTACCTTCATCCGAGCATCAAAAGCACAACCTATTTACACTCTAAACTTGCGAAGTAGAATATATTGCAACTACTTTTTTGTGTTTGCCATGAAATTTGGTTAAAGAATTTATTGAAAGAATTAAAATTTTCATATGAGCTGCCCATTGAGATACATAATGATACTAAATTAGTTTTGTATTGGCAAAAAATCTCAACTTTCACAATAGAAGTAAGTAGATGACACTCGTCATCATTACATAAGAGAATGTGTTGCAAGTAAAAAAATGAATTTGAAGTACGTGTTGTCTCCAAATCAAATAACATACACATTTACTAATCAATAGAAACAAGAAACATTTGTGAAGTTCCAAAACTATTCTTAGAGTTGCAATCAATTTTAAGGGAGGGTGTTAGAAATAAACTTATTTTGTTTGAGACATAAACTTACACTGATTGAAAATTTGATATATTGAAAACTCAGAATCAAATCCAAACCGGAGTCCTAAATACATAAAAAAATTATTTTAAGCGAAAGAATACTCAACTAAACTCTATTAATATTATTATTTATTATCCTAATAAATTAAAAAAAAGTTATTTTGAATATCATCTCATGCGCGTTACGTGCAATTCTATGTCAGCTGTCTTGACTTCCCCTTCTTTTGTTTTTAAAGTGCGGAAAATCCACAGCTGAAGCTCTACAAGAACCTCAAAAATCAAAATTCATCTGCCTTGATCTTCACTTTAGTGTGAGGAGAAAGACAACAGAAATAAGAGATAAATTGATCATAAAAAAAACAAGAGGAACAGAGTATTAATTTTGATTTGATTTGCTGCCAAAACGGCAAAACTAACCCCAACGACTCATCTCCGCTGCTAAATCGCTAAAATTAGTTTCAGCCCCCACGTTTCTGCTCATCTCACGCTAAACCACACAAACGTGCACTTAACTAACGCCAAACTTCAGTTAAAATCCTCCTCTTTTGCTTCCTCTTCAAGCACTCTGCGTCATTTCCTTCTAATCGATTCTTCACTAAATCAGGTTTTTTTTTTTTTTTTTTTTGCGAACAGTATTGAATGAAAAAGCTGCAATTTTATTAACGCAGATGCTGCAATTCAAGCAAAAATAAATCTATAATAATCTTAAGAAGTCAGCAGACAATGCTGAATGCAAATTCACGGAGATTTGCTTATTTTCGAAGAAAAATAAGAATAAATGAAATGATAAAATAAAAACAAAACGAAAAACAAGAAATTAATCGGAATCTGAATCCGATCATCAGTATTGGCAACCAACAAGCGAAGACGAGATCATAAAGATCGGTCTTTTGGTTGCAAACGACAAAGACGGCGACTTTCTCACTGAAGCCGAAGAATGAGAAGAAGAAACCTTCTCCGCATCGCCATCATCTTCGGACGGAGGTGGGAGATTGAGATCTAGAGCAAGTCCGTTCTGTTTCCCATCCTCTTTCTCCATCTCTTGGCGGTGCCGCCGCATATGTCCGCCGAGTGCCTGGCCGGAGCTGAACTCTGCTCCGCATCGAGTACATTGGTGGACTTTAACCTTGGCTACAGCTGCCGAAGGGAAGGAGTTCATGCTTAGCTGAATCGAAGCCTCATTCATCACCGCCATCTTGCTTCTCTTCGCCGAAGCCTGGGGAATCGAAAGCTTCGATTTTTTATGGCTGGAGCGATGCCCGCCGAGCGCTTGGTGTGAATTGAAGCATTTATGGCAAGTCTCGCATTCGTGGATGCTAGATCCAGCCTTGGCTGTTGTGGTGGTCGGCGGTGTCAGCTCTGCGGATCGCCGGATCGTGAATTTGAGGGCGGGAGTTGTGTAGGGCTCCGGCTGGTGGCCGCCGCGAGAGAGGAGCATGAGACAATTAGCCAGGTCTTCTTCTTCCTCAGTTGTGGTTTCAGAAAACTCTGCGGAGGTGGTTGGAGAAAACACAGGTGATGCTGCCGACGAAGAAAGCTGAGGCCTTTGCCGCTTGGTTCTCTTCCGTTTCACTAATATGCCTTCCATTGAAGGGTGAGGAAGAAGGCTGTGGTCAGATAAGTGAAGGGGGAGGAAGGTTGGGGGGTTATTATATATAATGGATTTAGAAAGCGGGGGAAGATTAGAATTGGGAGTCAGAACAGGACATTAAAGGCCGCAAATTCACTCCTTTTGGCCTTTCTCTCCCTATAAAAAAAGGATTTTTTTTAAGGAGGAAGGATGGTGGGGCTCTCAATCTTTCTCTCTTCGTTCGCTTTCCGTTTTGGAGTGCATTTGCCTTTCTGTTGTGGTTATTTATAGAGCAGAAGAAACGAAAAAACAGAATCAGATGAGGGCGAGGGTGGAACTAAAACGGCACATGCCAATTAAGCCATGTGGAATTAGTAAACACATCAAAAAAAAAAAAAGAGAATTTTGGGGGAAAGGGGGAAGGATTGCAGTGAAGATAGGAGCGGCTCTTACGGGCTGTGGCTGTAGATTTCTATTTTTGTGAGTTGTCCGTTTGAGAGAGAGAGAGAGAGAGCTGTGGACTGTATTGTTTGGGCTGGGGATTGACTATTTATATATCAAATTAAAATTATAGATAAATGAAATAGATGACTTAGCTTCTGAAATATATTCATCACTTAATATAGCTAAAGTGAAGGTTATATCTTGCTTTCACCATTATGATAATGTTTGTATTTCTAAATGGTATTGACATCATTAAAAATATAGAGAAATCTCCATATTAAACTTATTTAAATAACTCATAAAAAATGAATGCATAGTAATAATAATAATAATAATAATAATATGGTGCATTTAATTAAGAATTATTATATTTACATCTCATACTTAAAGTTTCATATTTACTCACTTAACGCTCTGATCTATCATTGTCATTTTTAAAATTTGAAATACACATTTTCATGTATGAGTTTAAAACACAAAGATAATATCTATATAAATATAAAAAAAATATGTTTAATATATGTAAATACATAAGAATTGTGAGCTACATATATAAAATTTCCATATAATAATATGAGCCTTCATATTTAATAATTTTTGTCACATTTTTTCATGCTCTCTCTCTCAGCAATACATTTACTGCATTACATATATAATTTTCACTAATTGTTAATATCCAAGAATAGAACTACTAATCTGGAAAATATTCAATTTAAAAATTCTGACATCCGAAGAATAGCGTAGATCACACCATATCATTTGTGCGTAGTGGCGATGCATAATCCACACCGTTGTTCACATATACAAATAACACACGAAATATTTCCTTCCGAGCATCTTACTCGACCCTACCCACATCAAACTTCTTACCAATTGAAAATAGAATATTAATGTTTGTAACTACACATATTTCTCCACTCAATTTGCCTAAATATAAAAAAATCTAACATTATATATATATATATATATATATAAAGGTCAACAGAAGAGCTGGCGAGGGAGTAAGGAGGAGGTGAGAAGTGAAGATTCTTGGCGTAAGGAATAGTTGTTGAGCTTAGTATGGTTGTGTGTGGCACGAAAGAGAAAGCCAAGCTCTGTTTCTCTCTCTATGTCTAAGTGTTTCTCTCTCTCTCTCTAGCAGTGGTATTAGGTGGAGGAGGGAAGCAAGGCATCGTTTGGTAGATGGTGCCTTCACTCTTCTGCAACGGCACACACATACTCCTCCTGAGTTTATGCCGAATTCAAAGCAGTCGTAGAAGACTTTACAAGTGTGGGGGAGAGCACATAGAGAACTTGCTCTCCCTCCGCTACATGTTGGTGGATCTACAAGTGTTTGCTTGCTTGCACTTGTCCAATTTTTTGGTGCTTTGATTTTGTCAGAATATACTTTTCTCCATTAAGATAAGGTTTGAATTTCATTAAATAATTAAAGGCAAATTTAAACATGTGGCACGCCTAAACTTTTATATTTACATACATGGCTATGCATGGAAAGAGTCTTAATAGTATTGTTTTTAATGTGTGTAAATATGAAGGTTTTGGGGGTGAGATATGTAAATAAATGCCCCATTAATAAATTATTTATCTTGGTAGATAATGTAAATATATAAAATTTTTGTTAGGTGCGTTCTGTTTGATTTATTATTCTTTGATCAATGAGTTGAATATTAACACAAGATCTAGTATTTGTTGGTAGATCTAGTGTTCGGAATTTGCACTATTCTGGTGGATAAAAGTATTTTTTTAATTATATAATTAAGTTGCAATCTTGATCTCATGACTTTATGTGGTTTGTGTGTGGCTTTACATATATATATATATA